TATAACAATTATATATTTGTTTTAAAAAAAATTTGGACCCCTTTACATTGTGGATCCTGATGAGCGATTACACTTATAAACAAAATCCAAAGTTGGTCTATCTGTCTCGTTCAGTTGCCACTACTATTATATATTATATATATTGTTTTGTTTCCATTTCTGGGGTTTATCTAAACGTCCACACACTTCCAATTTTTCGTTTTGTTGAAATTTAGAACTTTCTTAATCTAGACTTTTTTCATATAAAAAATTATAAACTTGTCCTTGAACACATTATTATATGTATACCATTTTCATTAGAGAGTTACTACGGTACCCTTAAAAGATCGAAGAATTTTAATACATTCTTTTATATAAATTTATAAAAAAAATCTAAAAAAATTAATTTAATTATAAAATAAATAATCTAAATTATATTTATGAAATAAAAAGTAAGATAAAATTACAGAGATTAAAATTATAAAATTTCAATAATGTTATAAAACATTAAAAAAGGAAAAATTTAATAAATAGTAGAAATAAAAATTTATTAAAATTACAATATAGAAATTCAAAAATTTAAAATAAAAAGACAAAATTTATCTTTTCAGGAGTTGTTACGGTACCCTCAAAGATTGAAGAATTTCAATACATTCTTTTATATAAATTCATAAAAAAAATTAAAAAAATTAATTTAATTATAAAATAAATAATCTAAATTATATTTATGAAATAAAAAGTAAGATAAAATTATAGAGATTAAAATTATAAAATTTCAATAATGTTATAAAACATTAAAAAAGGAAAAATTTAATAAATAGTAGAAATAAAAATTTATTAAAATTACAATATAGAAATTCAAAAATTTAAAATAAAAAGACAAAATTTATCTTTTCAGGAGTTGTTACAGTACCCTCAAAGATTGAAGAATTTCAATACATTCTTTTATATAAATTCATAAAAAAAATTAAAAAAATTAATTTAATTATAAAATAAAAAAAATATACTTAAAAAATTATTAAAATTAAACTATTTAAATATATAATAATATTATTACAAATAAAATTAGAATATATAAAATAAAAATAAAATGACTAAATAATTTACAAATTAAAAAAATAAAATCATAAATATTATTTAAATAAATTATTAATATAAAATATAAAATAAAACTATAATTACAACTGTACTAGTACCCTCTCAAATAATGTGGGTATCATAAAATTTCTCTTTTCATTATTTAATGACATGAAAATTTTAGATTAAATAATATTATTAGTAAATTTAAATTCAAGTATTCAACTAATACTACTTTTGTGACAATTAAGGTTTGCAATATCTAACAACTATTTGTAGTTAAAAAAATACCACTTTTACTCTTATACTTACAATTTTAGTTTTCAGATCAGTTTTTTTTTTTTTTTTTTAAATTTATTTTTATTTTTATAATGGATCTGTTTGTTTAACGTTTAAACAAGAATTTCTATAAACAAAGGCTAGCTTAAAAAAATATATTTATTTGAGAAACAGACAGGAATTACTTCTTAAAAAGAAATAGAAAATTGCTTGTTTTATAAAAAAAAAATTAGACAAACACAACAAAAGTACTTACTTAAAAATAAAAAATATCTAAAACTTTTCACCACATCAAGCTTCAACACAAATAGTAAATAATTAAATTTTTTAAATACGATGAGAAAAGTTGAATTGTGTTGTGAGACTAATCTCTTACCTATATAGAACTTCAAATGTGAAATGATTTGCACCATGTTTACAAACCCATCGGAGATCAATACTGTAAATGACACATTACTTTTACTTACCCCAAAGGTGAAGCATCATCCCCAGCATTTCAAGCAGTTTAGACCAATAAGGTGTGCTACGTGAGGTACAAGGTTCGCACTAAGGTGATTGCAAACAGATTCAGAACTCAGAATTGTTATGGGGAAGCATAATTTCTCCTAACCAATGTTTTTAGCTTTGTACAAGGGAGACAAGGTGTTGATAACGTCAACATGCAAATGTTTTTAGCTTTGTAGGGATAATGGGCAGACAAACCCAAGCATATATCCTATTTTTTTTTAATTGATGTTATAGAAAATAATTTGTTAAAATTTCTGGTAATTTAAAAAAATTCATTGTAAAGTGATAATGAAGGGTGTAAGAATTTGTCGCCCGAGAAATAGGATGAGAATTTAACTAGAATATAGAATTAAATGCACTTCTCTTGTTTTCTCGTGTGTATATATATATAATACTTTGTTATATGAACTTAAAATAATGTATAAAATATTTTTATAATTATCTATTAATTTGAATTAATATAATGAAGTATTAAATAATTTTTAAATATTTTAAAAATTATAAATTAATTTTTTTTAATTTAATAGTTAAATTGTTAAAATTTTACTGAGTAAAGTAACTTTACTAAATATGTTTTCGTAAGACATTTAAAGGGTTCATAAATTCATTTGATTAATTTATAAGTTTCTTTAGCCAAAATAAATTTGTTTGATACGTGAATTTATTTTAGGAGTTTATATCCTATTTTTGTAAGCTAATTGAAATAAGTTTAATTGACAACACCAAAAAAAAAAGTTTAATTGATAGGTTCTTATGATATTTATCTTTCTATTTTATTGTCATTAATTTACTTTAGCTCACTTTGAAATTCTTTTTAACTTAAAAGTAATTTTGTTTATATATTACTCTCTCAATCTCCTTATTAAATAAATAAATATGTCATTTTACAACTAATTTATAAGTTAATCTAGCTTATCAAATATTTTCTATTCAATCAATTAGTTTATGAACTTTCAATTTTTCAACTCCTAACTTGTAACTTATAAGATTTCGATTTCGACAAATTTATAAGTTGCTTTAATCAAACACTCAATAATTACTTCTAGAAAAATAAAAGAAACTTTACATTAATATATGTAGCACATTAAACTTATAGTATAATAGTGGATTAAATTATGAACCCAATTAAAATGTATCGATAACATAGAGATTTTTATTTTTTTATTTTTTATTTTTACGTTATGATCTAATCATAGATTGTCAATTTTCCATAGCTAATAAGAGTGATAGTTTTTATAATAGTTATTTTAAAAACTATGACTACAGTGTTTTTTTTTAATAAATAGTTAAAAAAATGTAAATATATTTTTAGTTTTTAAAATAGCAAAACTGTTGATGTGATACCAATAAGTGACATGATAAATGATAGAGCATTAATGGTATTGTCATATATATCGTGGTGAAGAGATAAGTTGTTTAAATTATAAAAAGTAAATATGAGTTATATATAATGATGAAAGTTATATTAGAACCAAGAAAAGCATAAAAATGAGGTTGTTGGGAAGAAGACGGCTTAGTTGATTCTCTTGTGAACATATATAGGTTCTTAGACCGTATTTAATTGACATAATTTATGTGTTAATTTGTCTCTTCGTCACTTAATCGATTGACACAATAAAGATCGTTGAAATATTACGAAAAATATAATTTAGAAAGTTACAAAATTTCGATTGAAATTATTATTTTAACATGAAATTTCATTTAGAATTATAAAAAATTTGCTCTAAGCGAGTGAAGACAAAGGACACTCTTTAACGTATTCATTTGGTTACTTAGAGCGAGAAATATGAGTGTTTTGAGTGACTGGATTCAAAACAAAAGTCTATTATAAGTTATTATAAAATTAGGGTTCTAAGAGGTTTAGAATCAATTTAGGTTGTAATACATATTTCTTAGTACGATTTTAGAGAGATAAGAGAGAGTTATGTGAGATCAATACTATAATCACGGATACAAAAATTCATCTGGAGTTGTAATCTTTAGTCATGATCAGTGACTAAATTCTCCATTATTGGGGGATTGAAATAGCTACTTTGAATTATGTAATTTTTTCTCGAGTTTTTTATTCAATAAAGTATTTATTTAGTTAATTGTTTTAGTCTTATACTTAATGTTTATTTTGCTCCGATCAACTACATCATTATTTTATAATTTTTAATTGTAATTGGAAATTTTTTTTTCAAATTATTACCTAATTAAAACATTGATGACATTTATTATCAAATAATTGAGATAAATTTCATCAGTCAAATTTGGATCCTCAACCTACAAGTTTATTAAACAAAAAAGTTATCGAGAAATTAATGTTTTTTTTATTAAAAATAATCTAGAACTTCTCACCTAAGAAATTAAGATTTAAATATAATTTTACAATGTCAAATTAACTGTATACTTGCAATATTGAATGAAAAATATTAAGATTTTACATAAGAATAACTAGTGAATTAATCTCTAACTATTTTTATTATTAATTAAATTTCATTACAATTTACTACTTTATTATTATTCTATTGCATTTAAACAATTATGTCTTAATAATTTTAACTTCTTAGTAATTTGTTTGTTTGATATAAATATTATATTAAATAACTATAAATTTAAAGATTTTTATCCTTTCTATTATAACGTCAATTGATATATTTCTCAATAAGTTAGGTTTGTTATTTGCGAAAGTGGTTTTGGATTTTGATAGGTGGTTCTATAGCGTTAGGATTAAAGTTTCTTTAATTGGTAGATTTTACATAATATGATCTGATGGAAAATAGTTCTTTCTAAATGCTCTTAGCGAAAAAATTTGTAATAATACGAGTTTGTTTTTTATTTGGTAGCCTTTGAGACTTTTAGAAGAAAAGAAAAAAACCTTATGGTCTCCTCTTCCTTTCATCTCCTTTTTCTGATCCCTCAACTATTTATACTTTTGAATTCTTTAAAAAAATTTTTTAATTAATAATCAAGTCATTATTGTATATATTTTCTATTGTTCAATAAGTTAAAGTATGAAGTTGATATATATTTTTCTTATAAAAAATAATAATCAATGGTTGAGATTTAACAATGATCCTCTGTATACAATTATTTGTGAAAAAGGTAAATAGTAGCAATTAATTTTTGCAATCTAATAAATCCAAATAACAATAATGAAAAGAAAGAGACGAAAAGACATTTAATAAGCACTAGAAATTTAATATTAAAAATTTAAAGGAAAAAAATGGAACAATGGTTCTGCAAAATACATGTATCAGCAGAACAAGGTTTATTTGAAGGGAAACCAAGTCTAGCATATTTAATGATACATTTAGCTTCCTTAGTTGTTGTTCATCCCAGTTGCATTCTTCACAACTTCAGCAGCCTCTTGCGCTTTAGCCTTCATTTGCTGCCCAGCCTATACACAACAAAATAATTTGTAAATGTTGTTAGAATAGTGGATTAAGCCTAACTCAACCCTACAAAACCGGCTTGTAAGGTAAGGGTTGCTTTCCACTTATATACTATTCAATTGCCTAATCTCTAGTCTATGTGGGACTTGGGTTTTTCCCAATACACCCCCTCACGTCCAGCACTATTGAGCTTGGTACGTGAATAAATGGTGGGTGACCCTTTTTAATGATCTAGGATTGGCGGGACTTGAGTTTTTCCCAATACACCCCCCCTCATGCCTGTGAGGCATGCATCAACGGTGGGTGGCCCATTTTTAAAGTGGATCTAAATGACTCTGATACCAAAGTTGGGGAGTCTTTTAACATCGGGGAGCACTCCACATAATGAGTAGTGAGTAAGTCATACAAGTGAGCTTGACACCACAACATAACCTAAAACCTTAAGGCATTAGGTAGGTGGGTCTTTCTCACTTATATATTACTCAACATGCCCAACTCTAACCAATGTGGGACTTCACTTCACACTTGAACTCCAACAAATGTTTTTGCATTATTATAAGGGTTTAATGTTAATGTACTCCTAGTTTAAAAACTTTTACCAAAATTCACGGTTAAAATAATTTTTAAAAGTTATTAGGAAAGTTAAAAAAAATTATTATATATAGTGATATCTATGATTATAAAAAATTTATTTTATACTATTAGTATATAACTTGTTTTACAAATAATATATATTATATATAAGAACCTCTTGCAAGGATTCTTGAGCAGATTGGGCAGCATTGGAAGCCTTGTCCATCATGGTGCTAGCCTTTTCCTGAAATATAGCACATAAGAACTTGTTGGAAATTATCAAAATTGAGCACATGAATATTAATTTAGTTGTTAAGTCAAGGATTCCATACTTATATTTTATAATTAAAGATTGTAGTTCAATCTTTTGCTTTTTTACAAGCAGTCGCGACTCAAGATATTAATTTATTCATAAAAAGCCAACCCGAGGAAAAGGAGTAATATTTTTTTTATAAAAAAAAAACTGAGCAAAAGAAGAGACTATAACACAAAAGAAAGGGGTTAAAGACAGACCTCAGCTTGGCCCTTGGCTTGTCCAGCATTATAGCTCATCTTTTCGGAGTCCATATCTTGGTTCTTGTATTAAGCTGTGAGTGAAAAATCAAGTGTTGTTGTTTAGTTTTTCAAATGCACATTTTTATTTTCTCACCAAGTTGTAACTTATATAAATTCTCAATGCATTGCAGCATTCAACACGTGTTGTTTTTCACGTATGTTGATTTGCCATGCAAACTGTGACCATTCACAATTTCCTCCTTTACATGTGTTTTCTAGGGCACATGTCATGCCGTTCTTGATTCTTGGGAAGCGACTCAGTTAATGTTGATCAATGCATGTGGAGGAGATTCATTCATTCAAATTCCCAATCTCCTATCTTATAGCTTGGACGAAGTCTTATCTTATTTTCCTAATAATAGAGAAATTTAATTTCATATTATGGCTGAAATCTTGGGTAGAAAAGTCCACATGTATAGTAAAGTGTGATATATATTTATTTATTAATTCAGTTGTTAAATATTTAAGATCAATGATCTTGCACACAAAGATTTATTTAGTTATATAAATCAGATATTTGAAGTTATATAATCTTATAGTTAATATTTTTTATACTTTTAAAAATATATTATATGTTAAATTAAATTTATTTAATAAAATATCATATAATTTTAATTATATAAAAATTTGTAAACATGAATGCTTGATTACAAATTTTTAATTTAATGATTGCATAAAGTTTGATATTCAAAAGTCATTGAAGAAAATTATATATGCGCACAATTTTATTTAATGCTATTGGTAAATAACAATTAATGCAAGTGATTATGTTTTTTATATTGGTACTTAAATCAGTTGAATGACATAATGCATGAGTTTTTGTCTTTTTGATCTCTTGATCGATTGATACATGGAAGATAATTTGGAAAGGTGATCAAAGCCAACAGGTGGTATGCGTTGTCTCAACCCAAGAATGGAAGTGAGCTTGCCCCACGATGACTTGTTGGGTAGACATGTCCAAGGATGTCCAACATTTAAGGACCTTACAAAATAAATGATATGTAAAGGATTGTCTCTACAACTGATTAACATAGGAACTTGGCAAAGGATATGATAGAGTTATTGTCTTATTCTCGTCGTCAATCTTCTCGCAGTCTTAATAAATCACTGATTTTCTGAGTGAAGGCATTGATGTGTTATTGTAAATCAACCTCTTGCATTTTTATCTCATATAGTTTTTCTTGGCATACAACTTATTTGTTAAGAACTTGAATATATCGCCTCTCTAATTTCTTTAATACCTGATCCCGTAGAGACATTAGGTTCACAACATGATATAACACTTGATAGTGTATAATTAATACACATTTTAATATATTATATTGGGATTATTTGACATTTAGAAATATTTTAAACTGATGAATTGGTTAACATTTATTTTAGTGGATTATTTTGGTTTTAATTATAAATTCTAGCTTTTTTTTTTTTTTCTTTCTGTCTACTTTGACATGTTGTCTTGTATAGGTTATATCTAAAACTCTCAAACTCAGAATGGGACATTCTTGGTGTCCCTAGAAATCTAAGATAGAGATCCACTACTTCTTTGTTGGGAGTTTCACCTAGTTTGCATGTTTAAGGGTCCAAAAATTTACCTCAATATTATTTCTCTACACTTCACTTTGGGTTTACTTTAAGAACTTATTGTATTAGTAGTCTAACTTTGTTAATTAGTTGGTTAGTGGGCCGAGCCTTGTAAATATTATGATTAGACTCACTATATTAGTTTATTGATAGTTGTTATAAGACTTGTTATATACATTGTTTCTCATTTTTCAGATTTTAGAGTTGTTTCTTCTACAGGTTTCTCTAAATTCTCTTTCTCTCTCTTGGATTTCTCTCTCTACATTTTCTACACAAATTGATTACAACAACTTGATGGAGATGTGTGACTAATCCATTCAATCGATTCGAGATCCCATAAATTGCTGTAAAATTCGAGTTTTTAGTTTAATTTTACTGTACGAATTCTCTTCATTTTCTTCTCTATTCTAGATCTAATTTTTGTTTTCATAATTATGGATTTAGTTTTAATTAGATCTAGAACAAAATTGAGGATTAATTTTGAATCAAGAACTAGATTTAGATCTAGACATAAAATAACTTAAATCAACCATTCACCATTATTAAATTTCATGGAAATTATGAAATCGCGATTGTGCTTCATGTTTTTATGAAATTCAATAGATCTAAATTTAAATCTATATTTTAATTATATTCGTGTTGATTTAAGATTGATTGAATTTAGATTATAATTTAAACCTTAAAAATTTTACCTTTAAGATTGAAATGTTGAATCAATACATTTTTTGATTAACATTTCTGATTGAAATTTCTATTTCCATTTCTTAATATTAATTTTTCTTTGTTATTCATAAAAATTCATTTCCTAATTGTGTGATAAATTTAGATTTAATTGACTTATGTCTTCAAGAAGAATGACCTAGGTTGTTCCTTATGTTACAAATTAAAGGAGAAAATCTAGTAATTTTTTTTATAGTGAATCGGTGAGCTATCAAAATGACGTTGTTGCCGGAGACACAAGTCATTGTACCTTGATTATATGATTCCTACTAAATGTTTGTGAAATTGCTTTTGTATATTATATATAACCTTGATTCTAACCATTTTTGTTGAGTTTTGTGTAATATTTGTCCATAAACACTTTTGATAGTTTTTTCTGTGGGTTGAAATTTTTTCCATTGTTTAGACCATTTATTCATTATTTTTACTATTTTTGATACTTTTAAAAATTACCAAAAAATTTTAGAAAATAGGAAATTAATACTAAATGATTTTTTGGTAGTCTTGTATTTTTTTTTAAAATTCATTTGGTAGTGTTTTGTAGGTTACAGGTTTTCATTGTTAAATATTAACTTTACAATTGACTTTTCATTTTTTTTGTTGACTTTCAATAGTTTTTTTATTTAGCATTATTAGTCTTTTTTTCTATCTTTAATTGTCATTCTAGACTTATTTCTATTCTTAGGTAGTTATGGATTATGTTTGACTAAATTGACCACCTTAGTCCAACAATTAGCCACTTGTGCTAATGTTGTTAGAACTTATTATGATCGTCCACAACAATATTATTTTGATTTATACTTTGGTCAACAATATGAACCTCCACATGTACAATAGTATTATGATCCTCCACAACATTATCATGATTCATACTTTGAGAGGTATAATTTTGAGGGGATAGCCCATCAATGGGATCCTATTGAGGATTATGTTCAGCCACCACCTATATAGAGTAGTGAATTCACATTTAAGGATATATATCATAAACCAGATGGCTAAAAACAATAGGCAATTTAACATTATGTTTTAGCAAGATTTGAATGTTGCATCTCAAGATTTTAATGTTACATCTCAACTTTTGCAAACACAACTTGATCAATTAACTACTAAGGTCATGCTAGATTTCCAAAAATTAAATTATTCAAACATCTAAAGTAAAGGAACAAATAGAGGAAAAAATGGATGATCTTCCTTTGGTCAAAACATGAGATATATCATGCAAATTATCTCCCTTTAATTTATTTTACGCCTGTCTTTTTTTTTGTTTTTGTTGTTGTAGTATTATATGCTTCCTATGGAGCATTTTATGATTATATTAGAAACAATGCAAATTTTAAGTGTGGAGGAGGATGCGGAAGATCTTTCATTATATTAACCATTATGAGAGAGTTTTACCCTCATTTGATTCTAATGTGCATTATTTTTATTGTTGAATTTATTCTTACATTGAGAACAATGTGAATTTTAAGTGTAGTGGTGATTTGTTGTTTTTAGTTTTTAGTAAAAAAAAAAAAGGTTTTACTATTTTCTATATTTTGTATCTATTTTTTTTTCTATTTTTTGTAATATGTTGTTGTATACTTTTCTATTTATTTTTTTGTATTTGTTTTTTTTTCTATATTATGCACTCTAATTTTGTTTTATTTTCTATTTCTATTTCTATATTTGCTCTTTGTTTTGTTTCCTATACTTTACTTTTTATTTTTTTTTTGTTTCTGTATCTGTTTTATTGTATCTATTTTTTTAGATTTTGTTTTTATTTCTAATTATTTATTCTATATATTTTTTTTATTTTTGTTATTTTTCTTTGCTATTTGTAAAAAAAGTAAATACATAAATTTCCATACCTTCTTTTGAATTTGTAAATTTATGAATTGTGAAATTTGCATTATTTTTTTTTTATTGAGAGGTTGCACAACTTGATATGAGTCATTTTTACATTTTTAATATAGTGACTTGACTTGAAAAATTAAAGATGATTCATTAGTGATAGAATAATTACCTTGTGAGATTTTGAGTCTATTTGATGGATGGATTACATTATAGTATACCAATTGCTTCTTTCTTATGTGATTGTACTCATGATGCTAGTTACTCTATATTTTGCCTTGTTCTCTTTGATGCCTTTTGTTTTAGATGTATTGTTGTAATTAGAGAAAATATCTTCCTAATTAGAGAAATATTTGTAGAATCTTTTATTTGTTTTTTTTAGCATATTTTTCCTTATTTCCTTATTTTGGAAGATTAGATTGTTACAAATAGGTGCAATGAAAATGTTATAGGTATGAATGAAAATAATAAAATCATTCTCTTTTTCAAGTTGGTATCAGAGCTCCCGATCTTGGGAGCTTCGTTTCCACTACAACAGTAGCCACCACCATTTCTGTCCGACCATCGCGGCTACCATTGTAGTCATTGGGGTCGTTAGTAAGGCAAACAGGTGCGCCCAACTTCGACGAACACAACGCCAGAAGTCGTTCCGGGAAACACGTCGCCACATGCTATGCTACCACGTGCCACCACTTTCACTAGCACATGTAACCCACGCGCTTACCTCCAGTGAGACCCACTCATCACTGCCATCACAAAACGAGTCATCGGAGCCTCCTGGATTTGTTCTATGGGTCAATGACGTCCCATTTGGCCCAGATTTGAGTAGATATGAGTTTTGAGTTTTGCTCCTTTTTCCGGTGTAGCCCACTCGTTTTCTTCATCGCGGACAGGGTCACCGGAGACACCTAATTGTGTTCCAAGGGATGTCTGAGGTAAAAATTATTCCTTTGG